AACCCCCGGTGCTCTGCTACGGCACAGGCGATGGTGTATGAAATAGTTATTTCTATTTTCAACCGCCTTTGCAGAAAAGAAAACAAAAATCGACTAGGTAATAACAAACACACGCTGTTAAATTAAACACTCTTGATTTTACAGTGAAGAGATTCTTGTTGCAATGTATGTTTCAACACCACATTTCAACAAGACATCTCAGTTTTGCAGCCCCGATTGTTTTATTGTTGTATTTATTGTAGCTGTGCAAAGACCAGACTAAGAGCTGAAATGGAGCGTGTGGAGGAGGGTTTACAATGCAGCTTCTAAGGCTGTGAAATGTAGTGGGGATGTTTCTTGTGTTTTGATGCTGGATCTTGGAAGATGTGGTTTTTAAAAATATATTTTTTTATTGTTAGCAAAGAATTTACTTTTCTTTTTCTGGTTTCTGGGAGGAGATGAAAGTCCTGAAACAGGTCTTGGCTCGATATGTAATGTTTTTTCCATGCATCTTATTAGAGTTTGTGGATGTTTTGATTAGCAGAACTGTGTGGGCTTTGGTTTGAGTGGTTGCAAACATTCTTTGATCCTGAGTTTTGGGTTTTGTTATGAAATGTTTTCTTCATAGCTTTGTGTAGAAAAGGCTCTGTATGTAGAAAAGGTGATAGAGGAGGAGAAATTTTGGAAGCAGTGATTGTATTTGATGGATTAATACTTTCATATAATGAAGCATTTTTATTTTAATGGTACTAGTGTTTGGCATAATATAAACAGGCTATGTAAATATTCAAGGCCCTGTGTCTCTTTCTAGAGACTGGGGGATGGGATGGGCATTGATACTGAAAGGTTCGATACTCCCTTTTCAGTACTAGCAGAGGATGCCCCTCACCTTGCAGAATTGAGTCCTGATTAAGGATTTGTAAGTTAGTTTAGAACTTTCATTGCAGTGGTGCCTAGATGCCTCAACTAGATCAGGCCCCATTGTGCTAGGCACTGTACAAACATAGAAAATGACAGTCCCTGTCCCCAAAGAGCTTGCATTGGAGTGTTGGGCTCTGACAGGTGGATTTGCCAAATATAAATTTAGAGTCAAAATGCCCTGGGGCAGAGAGGTTGAAAGTGGTGGGTGGTGCTGCTCTCATTGTGCTCTGTTAGGCCAAGCCCCTGAGTAGCTAAAACTTTTAACTGCAGTTTTGCTATAGATGAATTGGCCCTGATTCTGTAAGGAACTACAAGTGGATCAAACCTTGGGCCTATGCAGAGCCCCACTGAAGTCAGTGGTGTTCTGGGTGGGTGGAATGGTCATGTTGCTCCTCACAGGACTGAGATTTTTTCTCATTTGTTTTTATATTTTTGAGGTGTGAAGGATTAATAACCGATCTTCAGTGTTATTCTCTATTTTCATGATGACCAGTCTGAAATGTGCTTTTTCTTTAAGGCAAATGAAGACGTCAGGTTAAAAATTACATTAAAAAATCCATAGAGGATTGGGAAAATTTGAGGAATTAAAACCAAATGTATCTTTCACCATTGCTTCTGAATTTTTCTTTTTGGACTTAATTTGGCTTGGACATTGAAGATAAGCTGGTCTGTTTCACTTTTTAGTCACTTTCACTGTTTGGTTCTTTACCCTAGTCCAGTGGATGCTGCACAGGTTTCAGGGCAAATTTTAAATGGAAACAAAACTGTTGAAATATATAAAAATATGATTACATAATTTTGTTTTCACTTAAAGCATTGTCCTGAGATGCAGCTGGATGCAGAGTTCACTTTATAACTCCAGTCAGGAGTTTAGTCTGTAACTTGTGGTTTTATTTATTTACCGTTTCACAGAATCTATTTTGAGTAGAAATGGCTACATTAAATGTTTCTTAATTCACTGAATATTTTGTTTGGTGTTAAATCCAACCTTGCAACATTTGCAAATGAAACATCGTACCTCTTTGCTAGTGCCTGAAACCCAGAAAGTGAAATTATTTTGTCCAAGCTGGTTGAAGCACAAAAAGTGTAAAAAAACCAAAAAACAAACAAAAAACAAAACAAACAAACAAACAAACAAAAACAAAAAACAAAAAAAAACCGGAAAAGTAAATGGAGGTTTTTAAAAAAAATCTTAGTTTTTAACCTGAATAATTCAGGTAAGGAATTTAAAAAAAAAAAGACTTTTTACGACCCTTTTAGTATTAGATTTTATTAAAGCTTTTTCCAGCACGTAAATTTAGGAACTAACTTCCATTGAACAGTGTGCTAAAATAAATAATACTTATCAAAACATTATGACTTGTCAGACTGGGATAGTATTAGAATCCACGTTTGCACTGTGCCTGCTACCATGGGGCCTGATCTCTGGTTGGAGTATTTGAGTGCTCGTGTAATATAAAAATCTCTAAGATCTCTATAGAGTGCTGGTATTTTTGCATAGCCACCAACAGCATATTAGGTCCTGATCCTGCAAGTTGTCCCAGATGAAGTACAGCTTGCAAGATCAGGGCCATAGTTTTGGGTGTCGCAGTAGGACCTCTTTGAAATACAGTGTGTATTCTATTGTTCCTTTCACAAATAATCAGCTGTTTGGGGTTCACATTTATCAGTTGCCCAAGATTTCCATTGTACTTATCCAGGTAATTTAATGTACTTTAGGACCAGTAGGATTAGGACTCATGTTGCAGTAGTACTTAAATCATGACAACCTTATTATTTATTTTTTCGCAGTACAAAGAGATCTCACTGTAGCAAGACTTCCTTTTGTGACTGCCCAAATTGAAGTGTGTGGGGGGAGAACTTCTAGGATAGTAAATGTTAATTTGAAATAGGGGAAGGATGAATAGGCTAGTAATCTCACAGCTCCCTAGTTTGACTAGCTTGTCATTGGGAACAGAAAACACATAAATGTGGGTCTTTCAGATATTTGTCACATGGCCCCATAGAAACATTCTGAACAGGTAAAAGCTGGTGAACTGTAAATCTCTTCTTCCTAAGCACAACTTTTTGGATAGCTATTGAAATAAACTGACTTTTCATTACTAAAACAAACATAATCCACTCCCAAAAGTTTCTTCCAGGGGAAGATGTGTGCAGATTTGTGACTGCAACACAAGTTTGTTTGGATAAAAACTTTTTCCAGAGAAGAATAAATGTGGATAAAGCAGAGGGCTATAATATAATGTTATAACTCACTGAAACATGACTTGGTTTCATTATGAGAGATTGTCAGAAACTTCTTATGTAGCATTCAAGAGCTTTGTGTGTGGGTGTGTATACATGTAGGTT